CATGACCAAAACAAACTTTCAAAAACCAGAGGATACATTTTTGTAAAAACTGTTCCTCACCTTTCCTCCAAAGATATCCTGTTCCTTCTGCGTCTCGCTGGTTAGATTCTATACTTAAATACAAAACCAAATATGAATATTTTAAAATATATGCAAACATACATATGTGCATTAGAGTGGTCCAAAATAATAAAGTCGGAATTTCAATGCCGCCACCCCCTAGGATTGTTCTGAACCGAAAATAAATATACCCCTATTTTTTTATTTTGAAATAAAAAAATATTTATGGAGTGCTCACAGCGCTCAAAGTTTTCCATGTATTTTATATGGGAAAAAAAAATTCGTAAAAATGGTATACAACTCTTGAAAATCAATATTTTTCAATCGTAAAACTGTGGTTCTCTTCAGGAGACTTCAAGTAGTAATATACAATTGTTTATTCAACCATTTTTTATGATTAAAGATTTTTTATTGGTCCTCCCATTGCATTTTCTAGGACCTATAAAATATAGTTACCATGAAAAAATTGTTAAAGGAACAATTGGCAATTATTACTGGGAATCTCCTGAAGATAAGCAAAGTTTTCCGATCGAAAAATATTGATTTTCAAGAATTCTACACTATTTCTACGAAAAGTTGTTTTTTCCCCATATAAAATACATTGAAAACTTTGAGCGCGTTGAGCACACCCTAATTTTTTTTTATTTCAAAATAAAAAAATAGTCGTATATTTTTTTTTGGTATAGAACGATCCTAGGGGCTGGCGGCATTAAAAATGCGACCTTATTTTTTTTACATACATTTTTGGACCAATTTAATGTACATATGTATAATTTTTTGTATAAGAAACTCTTACCAAAGATTTCTTCCATTCGAGCAGTTTAACTCGAAATTCGGCTCGGTCCCCTATATTTTGTATTGCATCAGCAATGTCCCTTTCATTTAAAAAGATAAGATGCCGATATTCAATTCCAGCTTCTGTAAATAACTAACTTATTAACTACATAGTTATACATAAGTCTTATTAATACCACTTACCTATAAGCTGAGCCAGCAGGTGCTCTAGCTTGAATTTTTTTAATAGTTGCTCCATTTTAAGTTCTATTTTGGAAATAAATATTTTTTTGAATAGAAATGCTAGCACACTTGTTTTTTAAAGTTTTCCATTTACACTTTGCGGGTTAAAGTTTTCGATTTTATTTTAAAAATGTTTCATTTTGCTTTGTTGGCTGAATACTTCGAAGCTTTATAATTTGTATGGTACAAATTCTAAATTGTTTCGTTTTAGTTTTGAAAATACACGTTTTAGATGATAACTTCTTCTCTTCCATTGCTTTTTCCCCCCAATACGAAATATGATATTACTTCTGTTGTAGTTTTCCGAATGCTTCGTTTAAATTTCGTATAAACAAATTGTGCGTTTTTAAATTTATATATAGTAAAACGATTATAAAAATTTTTGTTTTAAAATATTTTTTCGAAAACGTGCGTTTCACTTGTTTCATTTTCTCAGTGTACAAGTATTGCTTTATTAAAGGCTAAGTTATGCGAAAATCTAAATATTTCGTAAACGTAGGGTTAATGTTTTCGCGCACGTGCCAAACTGGTGCCGATTCGCTGAAATTTTATGATTTATGAGGATGGAAGCGGCGAGGGGAAGGCGAAAGCGGACCAATCGTATATATGTATGTACATACATATGCACATTTATAAATGCATACAGTAAAACCCGCTTAAGTACCTCACGAAAAATGTCAGCTTTTTGAGGTACTTTGGCGGGTTCGATGCGGGTACTTAAGCGAACATAATTATTGATGTAGTTACATCTTCTTGTTAACTTGCATAAATATGAAAATCCTTGATTAAAACATGAACATTTAATGAAGTATACGTAGTTTAAAACCAAGATCGTAGCATTATCTAAACAGATAAACAAATAAAGAAAATTTAAAAAAAATAGATAAAACAACGGTATGTAATTTTTACAAGAATTACATTCTTTAAAAAGTCATTGATTATACATATTTATAGTACAAATATACCATATAAACCTAAGCTTAAGATTTTGTAGAACACTTAAAAAAACGTATCAAAATTTCAAACTTTTTACCCAGAAGATTTTATTTTGAGTATAAAGTTTTACTGGCCTTTCAATTTTAGTTTAATAATGTGCAAGTTTCAAGTGGCTAAAAATTACCGTTGATTTTTTTGAATTTTTTTGCTGAAGGTGTTTAGTGATGGCACTCAATTTCAGAATATGTATGTAAGTATTTTAAGGAATCTTAAAAGAGCACATAAAAGGGGAAAATTATAAGTAAAATGGCAAATGGGGTACGAAAAATTTAGGTACTTAGGCGGGTTGGGTAAATAAGCGGGGAGGTACTTAAGAGAGAGATTTTCTTCAGATTACATCAAAAAATTCACGGTGCGCAAAAATGTTGGTTACTTAAACGGGTTAGGTACTTAAGCGGGGGGTACTTAAGCGGGTTTCACTGTACATACTTTTCATTTGTTTGTCTTTTTGGACGCATGAAAAATTTGGTAGCAGAAATAGGTAATAGGAATGAAATGAAGTTTACAAATATGTGCTTTATAAATTTAGGTTTATTAATTAATTAGATATGTAAATCGTTTTCTTAAATAGTTTCGGCTTAGATTAGCGTGATCTTTACTAATTGCTGGCTAAATCTGACGTTTTCAGATTTTTAGTATTTTTTAAATAGAAAAAGTTTCCAAGTCGAAAATAATTAAAAACTGAATTATTTCCATAAATATCGAAAATATGGAAAAAGTTCATACAGAATTCAACTTAGTTTAGGGAGATCTCTAAAAAAGATCTTTTCAAAAAAAATCCAAATCGAAAAGATTTAAAAACTTAGTTATTTCCATAAATATAGAATATTTGGAAAAAATGCTTAAATAGTTTCGGGTTAGTTTAGCGAGAGACCTTAAAAAATAATCACAAATGATTTTTTTCACAGGTTTTTTTTTGTTTTTAATCCAAACCAATACCGTTTTTTACTTGAACATATCACAAAAATTGGAAAATGTTATATAATATTTTCGATTTATTTTA